GCGGGGTGAGACAGCGCGTGATCGAGCCCTCGGGGCCTTCAGGAGCAGAGGATCCAGAAGATAGGTAGAGAACCCTTTGTAAGTAGTGTAGATAGAGGATAAATTGCGCAAGGAGTGTGTTACGACCCGTGGACGCGTGCCGTTGTTTTCTAGAGTGAAGCGTCTGACCACGGTTCAACAAATGCCCTCGACATCTCGTCTTGGATGGGCAGGTCCACTCATTTGTGGGCCAGGCTCTCCGTGCTTGATGATTGATCGCTGATGAACAACGGCAACGTCTGGACTCTGAGCAGTGCAGTGGGGGTTGAGGTCATCCCGCGGGTCCTCGCTTCCCCACTTGTACAAGGAGGTTATGCGCCAGGCGACGCCACGCTGTTGCTCTGCTCTACTGCTCTGCCACTCTTCTGTTCCTCAGCGCTACTGCCACACCTTCCAGTCTCCGCCAGTGAGGGGCCCCCCTGCGCATTTCCACATCCCACTTCCTCATCGCAGCAGACTTGCTTCGATCGTCTTGTCGTATTCCTCCCCTACCATTGCCTCCTTTTCGCAGCAAAATAGACACGCTTTCCTCCTCCAACATCATGTTCAACTGGGCAAAGCAACAGTAAGTTTGGAACAAGCGCGAAGCTCTTTATACCCCGGCTCTTGCGCCCCATGGCTCCGCAGTCTCAGCTAACCATGAATCCTGTTCTCTCCGTCGCCAGGCTGGCCAACGTTGCCGGCACACAGGAGCCCATCTATGGCCCGTCGGCTATCAGATCCGTCGCCGAAGAAGCAAAGGACATCCCATACACGGAGATCACCCGCGATGACCTGAAATGGAACGCTATGGACTCGACGTGTGTCGAGACTCAGACCTTTTATCTGGCGTCGGACAATGGTGACGTTGGTCTCGTGCAAGTCATCTATAGTAACGTTGCGTGCGTGGAGCGTCTTCTTCTCCTCTTTTGTCTCGCGATTTACCTTCAAGGCCACCATGGATGTACTCTGGGCTAATACACCGCACCATCTCTCCTCTGGGCTAATAGCGGCATGCGGACCACCTGCCAATTCAACTCCAAAATATTCTCCAAAGATGCATCCAAGCCTCACTTGTGGTGCTCGACCCCTCTGAATAACTTTGGATTTAATGAGGACCAGACCGGCTGTTTTGCCGATGACTGCATCCTGGAACTCTCGCAAGACGGAACCGAGTATACCATCAAGAGCATGAACGATGAGAGATCAATTGTCAATATCAAGATTACTAGAACTGCCCCTGGCTTCGTCGCCGGCAAGACCGGAACCACAAAGTACGGCACCAACCTCGAGAAACCGTGGGGCTGCATTCGGCACGTCTTTTGGCCACGATGCGCCGCCGAAGGTACAATCACCACCCCCGATGGCCCAGTCGACTTCAAGGGTCGCGCCATGTATTCGTTTGCGCTACAGGGCATGAAGCCTCACCACGCCGCTGCCAAGTGGAATTTTGTCTGCTTCCAGGGCCCCAGCTACTCTGCCATCATGATGGAATTTACCACACCCGCCTCGTACGGCACCACCTTGGTCAACGTGGGTGGTATCGCCAAGGATGGCGAGATTCTCACTGCTGGCGCCGGCCACGAGATCATTCATGCCGAGGTTAAGAACGATACGGAGAACGAGTGGCCGGAACCCAGTGCGGTCAAGATGGCGTGGAAAGGCACCAAAAAGGATGCCAAGCCAGTCAGCGCCACCATCGAAGGCAGCTTGGGCCAGAGAACTGACCGCGTTGATGTCATGGCGGAAGTGCCGGGCTTCGTCAAGACCATCGTGGCTGCTGCGGCAGGTACAAAGCCCTATATCTACCAGGTATGTCACATATACGACAGTCATCGTCGTCAGCTGAAGACTTCATGCTGCTCTCCTCACTGACACACAACTCTTTCGGTCCTCAGTACACACCAAAGATGACACTGAAGCTCAAAATCGGAGATCAAGAAATCGCCGAAGAGGGCCAGCTCCTGATGGAAGCTACGTTTATTTCGGAGTAGTGCAAGCCGCGACTACGGTAAGCATGTCTATTAGGGTAATGGTGCTGCGTTGTCGTTTAGTTTGGAGGTTATTTGTCCTTTGACGTGCGGAATGAAGAATGATGGCACGCGCCACAATTGGGTATACAACACATAATGATTCATCTGGGGACCCAAGACGACGCGGACGGCCTTGGCCACTCGCTTCGATATTTCTATCCTACTTTTTCCTTTTCTTGTTCCTAAGCATATCGCCGGTTTGAGGATGACCGGCTGGGCATAATTTGGGTACCCTTACATATTTAATCCGTTTCTTCCTTCCTTGCACATTAGCTTGCAAAGATACTTGGACTGTGAAAGCAGTGCGCTTCGTTTATTTTCATCAAGCGGGAGTGGGTGTTCTTGGGGATTCCTGTCGTGTGTATCGTTGATGCCAGATGGATATGGGCCGTTGCGCTCGAACTCAGATACTCCCTACATACTATATCGAACCCCCGGCACCGGCAGGGTCCCACTCCTTAATCAAGCATTGGAGATACATATGTACATACGTAGATTTCACGACTGTCATCGATATCTGGCCCTCTCCGCCTCCCTCGGCATAATAAAGGAACAAAAACATTCACACCAAGACCCAATACGACGCACGTCGCTTACACTGCTGCCGCGTAAAATCCTCGGATCAACAGCAGGCCATCCATGACTTGTCCTTCAGTGCAACTGTACCGTTAACTACCCAAGAGAATCTTGCAGAGGTGCAGACATGCTTCGTGGTGGAAACATGCTCTCATAGAGGCTCTGAGGGAGGCTACTCGGGTAAGAGATATACCCATTCAAATACGCATAAAAAGCGCGCACAACCCCCGCGCTCAGCTGTATATAACTATCCATCTATGAACTGGAAATAGCCAAAGACTTTTTAGGAGAAGCGTATATGCGTCATCATACAGATCCCAGTTACATTACCCGTCATATATTCATATTTTCATGACTCCTTTTCTTTTTCAGCCCCCGGGGGCTTCGACCCCTCCTCCTGAATTTCCTTGCCAATGGCCTGCTCGACCTGCCAGATTGCTCTCTCGAGCTCGATTTCCAGAGCTGGCACGTCCAGTTTTTCGGAGAAGCTCCGCACCTGGGCCTGAGTCAGGAGCAGTGTCTCCGGGGAGGAAGGGCTAGAGCTTGAGGAACTCGGATCCGAGGGAGTGGGAGATTGTGTTTTTTGCTGAGCGCCTGTTTGGCTGTACAGGGCGTCGAGGACGGGAGAGGTCGTCGGTCGGAGAAGCTTCTTGGACACCAGGAATTGGATGTGTTTGGCGCCGGCGATGGCGCGCCAGTGCGACCAAGCGCGGTAGACGAGGTAGAAGAAGGGCAAGTTGGGGATTCTGCAAGGCATTTCCGCGTTAGAGCCCGATTCTTTTTTTTTCCAAGTCCTTTGCTTTGACCATGTGAAGAAGACACAGAAAATGCGCGTGCTTCACACGAGTCTTTTCTGCATACAACAAGTTGGTACCACCCAAATGATGGCCGACGGATTGACCAAGGATCAATCCCCCCCTGACTAGCCAAGGGGAAACGTAAAAGGGGAGAAGATGAAAGGAAAACTCACATTGGCACAAGCGCAAAGGGAATCGTGATGGGCATTCCCACAATACACCACAACATTCTCCGCCTATGCAGCCCATCTCGCTCACTGCCCATCTTTCTGACCGCGTCCTCCGCCTGAGCCTCAGACATGACACTCTGCGGAAACACCAGCTCGACGTGATCTTGGTCCTGCCCCTGCGTCTGCGTCTTCATCTGCATCTGCTCCTCGCCCTTGTCTGCACTTTGCCGCCGCAGCTGCTCCCGGCTCGACAGCAGCGGCACAGACTTGAGGCCCCATTCCTCATAGGGTATCCGCCGAAACGCGTGGTTCCCGTACTCAACCACCTTCTTCTGCCATCCTGACTCCTTCTTCTCCCAGTTGGACCACGTGCGCTCTGCCCAGGCGGCCCCGCGGTCGAAGTACGAGGTGTCAGTCGGGGCGGTCGCGTGGTGCAAGCGCTGGGCGTAGAGGAGGCTCCTCCGTGTGGAAAGGGGGAGGAGGTAGAGGCGCATCGTCATGATTTCTCGTGGTATTGAGTCCCCTTGAAGTTTGGGGTTTGCTATTGTTGTCGGCTTATCAGAGCGGGAGCGTGACGTGACAATGAAATCGTGATGCTGGAGGAGAGGCGCCCACACAGCTTGGACGAGAACCAACGACGGATGATCGATTCTTTTATGATATGCTGCAAAGAATTGGGATATTCTTGCAAAATATGCAGTTTTTTCCTCAGTTTCAAACTTTCAAAGAGGGTGAGCGCAAAGATGTGAATGATTGAGGGAGGCGCAGCGATGGGAGGCCGTCCTAGGTAGGTATGTATGTAGTTTCCTCGTCGTTGGACTCGGGAGGAAGCGCAGAAGGGCGCAGCTTTGCGACAAAGTGGAAACGGCCAGGGATGAGATGCAGGGCGGATTCTACCTATTGCTCCATGGCGCGGAACGGCAAACAGAGAGAGGATCGCCGTGAAGCCTGGGCTTCGATTAGGACGCAGAACGGGCAGAAAGAGCAGAGCTAGCAGGAATAAAGAGATTCGTGACAGCAACTTGCTTACTTTCGTCGTTGGTGCAAGGTATGTACATACCGTAAATCCTTGACGGCATGTCGTGGGCCACAGCGCGATGCCCGATGTGGTGACGTACTTGCCAGAGGCCCTGCAGCATCACGTGCGCGCCTTCTTGGAGCGTCTGAGGCGGCAAACTTGCCGACGTTTGAACTTTGTCGGGATAGATCATAGGGCCCACTTACTTGCCGCGCGGGAAATAGGCGATGCACATTGCAAAGAAGTGACAAGATTTGATGAGTTTGCGTTTCTAGAAAGCCGCTGCTACGACTCACGAGGAGTGATGAGGCGGAAGAAAGCCACGAGTACCTACTTTTTTGTCAACACATTTATAATATGCAATTTTGCAAAGTCATCTCATCTATCCGGGCGAATGGTTTAGTGGTATAATACTCCCTTAGCATAACTTGCAGAACGTTGAGTTCTAGACAGACAGGGCAACGATTGGGAGTGGTCCAGGGTTCGATTCCCTGTTCGTCCAACTTCATAACTTTTGCCATTTCAATCATCTTTTAAAAGGCTCTCATCATGAACACTGAGTCCTGACAGTGGGCCGAGTCGGGCACAAAACATTTTTGCTGTTCTTCATTTTTGCCCAAAACATTTCGAGGTGCGATACCCTGGCGATATACGAACTGTCCATACACATGTGGCATCGCTGTGACTGAACACGCGACATACCCATAATGACCACAACTTAATGGAAAGATCTTCCTTCCAGAACGTAAATCTAGTGTATTAAAAAAGTAAAGTACCTTCTCCATCGTGAGTGAAAACATGCCTCTTGGAAACCCCTCTCGCCAACCTCATATATACACACAGATACAGACAGCACCGCACCGCACCCTTACAAGCCCTCCCATCCAAGCTTTCATGTACACACAGATGAACAATGCCGCAGCAAAGCCGTCACCAAAATCCCCGTTACGACTGGGGACTCTTGCTCCGACCCCCCACGGCTCCTTTGCCCACAATCTTCTCGGCTGCCCACTTCCACGATGAGGGACTCAGAGTTGGGGACGTAGTTCCTGCTGTATCTGACGACCCTTTCGATTGCTGCGACTGCTGCGACTGCTGCTGCTGGCCAGCTTTCCCCCCACTGTAAACTTCCATGTCGCTCTCGTTGTCGGTGTCCGCCCAGTCTCGGTCACTCCATGTCATGGAATCCGCTCGATCTGAGGCTTCGAGTCGCGGACGCCCGAGGGGGATGCTCTCGCTGTCGCTCTTCTTGGGCAGCTCGGGCACCTCGTCCAAAGCTTCTTCGCCAGCTTCGTTGACTTCTCCGCCGCTCTCGCGCTTGCTGCTCCCACCACCGCTGGCGTGGTCACCTTCGTTGCGCAGCTGGTGCAAGGGCCTCACTTCTCGTCCATCGGCGGCTGGCCCGTGATGGACTTCAAATGCTCGATCCATGTTGGGCTCTTCTTCATCGCGAACGCGTGCGGTCTCGGAGTCGCTAAAGTGTGCGTCGACCATGTGTTTGATCACTGGCCAGCCGTGCGCGTTGGCAAACATGCGTCTCACAATCATGTTGTTATGCGCGTCTGGCTCCAATTTGACCAGCACTTTGCGCCACGACAGATCCCGATGATAGCCTCGGGCAATTTTCTCTTCTACTCTCATGTTGGAAGCGTCTACGGTTTCCGAGGGATTGAGCTCAGGGCTGGTCTTGGCTGTGTCGTCGCCGTGGTCTTTGCCCGGGACGGTTTCCTTGGAATCCGCATGCAGCGGATTGTTGGGCGGGAAAGGAGACGTTGAACGACTGCCTGGCTCTGATGGTTGCGGCGAGCCCGAAATCTTGGCAGAATTCTTGCTGCGACGACCGAACGTCGACTGGCGTTTCTTCAACGGCGGCGGCGGCGGAGGGATATCACTGGGATGGTATACTCGGTCGTGAAAGATGGTTCTTGATCGCTTAGACGGGTCAAGTAGGTATTCTTCGCTTGGGATACTGGGGTTGAGCACATCGCCTGCTGATTCGAAGAAAGTCGTCTTTGGCGGTGCCGACATGCCATCGGCATAGCCATCACCCTCATGACCGGTAGTAGCCTTGCTTGGCTGCGGCTGCTGCTGTTTTCTGTCAGACTCGTCAGTGGAGCTCGAGGTGGCTATGTCGGGGCTGACAAGAGGCATAGTTTGTCCTCGCCGCAGCATCCTTTTCTGCTTCGCCGTCGGAACTGGGGTTTTGGGCGGATCTTGGCTCTTGAAAAGACCAAAAAAGGTGGATAAGCGAGAGTTGATACCAGAGCCTGGACCATTGTGATGGTTGTTGCTACTGCTGTTCTCTACACCCGGCTCGTCATCCTCATCACTATGGGCCCGCGGTACAGAGCGGATGCTAGCTCGTTCGTCCTCATGCATCGCATCACTAGAGGGCTGCGGAACTTGTCGCATGCCCTCTTTGGGAGAGCCCTTGGGGGTAGTGGTACCAGAATCGTCTTGCTGCTCTTCTTCCAAGGCGACTTGCTTCCTGCGTCTCGATGACGCCATGTTCGTGCCGGTCAGTTCTGCCCACCCAAACCCAACAACCGTTTCTACCAGGCCAGCATCTCTCCGAGCCTTTTCGACGCGGCCAAGGCCCTGCCAGTCGAGAAACAGGAGACAGCTTGTGCGGAGCGGCACGATTCCGTCATTGACCACATTGGAGTAGACTGTGCGGTTTCTAAACTTCTTCAGGGCCGTGTGAGCCGGGCCGGTGGGCAATATTCGTAACAGTGGTTTCGACTCGGGCTGTGATTCGCCATACACCTTCTTATGCGCCGACTCGCCGAGGTTGCTGACCAGAGCGCCCCATCCAATCCGAGCAATGGTAGGCGCTCTCCAGGTCAAGCCCAGATCTTGTCCGGTCCTACCTACAAGCCCAAAGTCAAGGGCGAACTTGACGTAAAGTGGGTTCTCGTTGCTTAACCCCAGAAAAGGGGTCGCCATCGCAATGAAATTCACGGGCTGAATAAGATCAAAGAATTTGGGCGAATGTTTCTGTATATAAGCAATAGCATATGTCTGAATCAGGCCGCCGAGAGAGTGTCCGACGAAACTTATGCTTGTGATCTGGTAACTTCTGTAGTGTCTATCATGCTTTGCCTTGGTAGTATCGGCTTGAATGTCACTATTCTTGTGCGCTTGTTTCACCTCGTGAGTGCCATTTTGGTGTGACTGGTCCTGGTGAAAGAGATGATGAGGATGGAGACTATGGTGGTGATGATGGTGATCATCCGCTAGGGCTTCAACAGCACCCTCACCGGCGCAGCCTTTCAGAGCACCTTTCGCAATCGGAAGAAATGGTTGGTCTGGGTACGTCATTGATAGAATATACCGCGATAATCTCTTTCCAAGGTACTTGATGCCTTTCTCTGTCTTTGTAGCATTTCCAGGATATCCACGCACGATGACTTCCTCATCGTCATCGTCGTCATCATCTTCGTCCACGTCATTTGCGATGTTATCCTGGCCTTCTTTAGACGGCGAATCCTCGTTCATCGAGCCATCAGGTTGTTTATCGGCCCTTGGCTTTTTTGCAGCTCTCTCCTTTGCCCTTCTAGCCTTCGCATCAATGCGTGCTTGCCTAGCGGCTGCATCGATGCTTTCTTTCATGTAAAGCATGTCAGCGCCTAAATTGCTGTGCAGACCATGCGTCAATATGACAAGATGGACCTTTTTTTTCTTCCCATGTGGCTTTTTCGGTTGTTTCAGCTCCTCGATCTCCGGACCACCAGTGTTCACCACGTTCTCCACAGGCTGATTAGCACCGGCGTCCTTTCCGGCGCTCTTGTTTACAGCGTCATCATCACAGCCGGGAAGGCTGGGCGTGTTCCAAAGCGCCGCGGAGTCCTCCACCTTGAGCTGTATGGCCCTTGAGAAGACACCCTTTGGCTGACCGGGATGGTGCCCATCCTTGGCACCGGCACTTTGCCGGTGATCGATCAGTTTTCCGGGCTGCGGCACTTGGCTGAAGTTGCCCCCAATCGACGACAGCGACTGGCTGAGGTTGAGAGATTTGTGATCACGCGCCACGACTACATCGAAGCCCACGGCAGCTGAAGTAGAGAATATGACCTGGGAGGCTATTTCGATCACCCACTCTGCGCATTCTCCATCGTGTTCAGGACCCTTTCCAAAGGTTTTGTTGCTTCCAATGCCGGCGTCTTGGCGAATGTTGTCCGGGACGATCAGCTCGCACTCCCAGGATCCTCCCGCCTTAAGCATGGGCTCGAACCGGGGGGCTCCGTACCGGCGAGGATTGGTGAACTTTTCATTGGGATTGAAGTGAGAAGGATACGCCGAAACGGACAGGGTATAGGGCCCGTGGACAAAGGCAGCGCGAAGGGCGATGGTCGAGGTATTTCGAATTCGAACATGTAGTTTTTCGGGGGAGGGGAGGATTCGATCTTGCGAGGGCGTGTACGTGAGGTTGTATCGGATCACCTCGCCGACCTTGACACTGCCGATCTGGTGCAGGAGCAGCATTTTCCCAGAACGCTTCAGCCCCAGGGGCGTCGCGAGAAACGGGTGAAATAGGGACCACAAAGGTTCGTGAGAGCACAAGAGAGAGACGGCGCCGTTGTCGCAAGCAGGTTGAGGGCAGGTTGAGGTTATGATGTCAGCTGTCTTGCCAGCATCCTCGGCCACGTGGTACAGCGAAGGTCCGAGCGCATGCAACGTAGGTAATCGGAAAGAGGGAAACGACAAGAGCAGTAAGGCAAAGCCTATTTCCGAGAGCGGACTTTGTGTATTAATGCTCCCATGGCGACGCGCCGAGCACAGGGTTGGTCTCGAAGATGCTCGGAAAAGGGGCTGCGCGCGAGATGATCAATTCTAACAAGCTTGAAGGAGCGAACAGGGCACCTGCAAGAGACGGGCTCACATGCCGTACCCCGCTCCTGCCGAATGGGGAGGGGCCGATAGCCGTGAAGCGGGGCGGTGGCCGTCACGGTTGGGACAATGGAGGTACATGTGTACATACTTCCGGAGAGGTACCTAGTACACACCGTGCAGTATTAACTCGGGCTGGAGGGTGAAAAGGAAATCACTTTGTCATTAATGTTTGTCAATTTTGGCTGTCGGAACAAGTGCAACAACTGTGCTTCAAGTGAGGGCTAGAAATGGGCCAGAACTGGACTCCAGCGAGGGAGCCCAGACGTACCTATACACCCCTCGCATTGCTCCCCTCCCTCTCTCCCTCTCTCTGAAATGCACATTGTAATTCTCGTTTGAATTAGTTCCTATTTTCACTATTCCGTGCGTATACATAGAGTAGATACATCTCAAATCAACCTTGTTCCACGCGCACTTATTTACACGCCACTTGACCAAGCCGATCAACACTACGGTCTGCCTACATATTACATACTAGGTGCCTGGCCCACGGCCCACAAAGCCAGAACATACTCGCCACAAACAGCTCGGATATCCAAAATCGCCAACACTCCTCCGACTATGCATGCCCAATTGTACTCTCCCCATCCGGAATCCCCGGCTCAACAT